AATAATGTATGAATTAAAATTACGTAGCAAAAATTGGCACTCTACCACTCTATAATATTAGCAGCAAAAAAGTATCCACTCTTCACATTCTAGTATTCTGCAAATTTTTAAACGATATTACTGCAAAAAACCGCAATACTAGTTTAACCTAAGTAGCAACTAAAAGGCCACATCGCAGGTGTGCATATATTTTCATTTTATTTTCCGAAGGCGGTGTTGCGCATTTTCTTACATACTTATATGGAAGAAAATAGGCGCTCCAAAAATGCCGAAAATCAACTGTGCCAGATACTTCAATCTTGCAATTTTTTATACAAAAATTGAATGGGCTACAAAACTGCATACTGAAAATTTTTCTAAGTAATCTAATTAAAAAGCTCGAATTTTTTGTTGATATATTTATATAAAGCATAAGTTATATTTAAAAAAATAATTAACATTAAATAAGATAAGACAATTTTTGTGGTGCGCTTATAATTTTGACACGGGGTATATAACGGATATTATACTACTTACATCTTTTTCATTTATTGTTTCGCTTCGTTTTTAGTTTTCTTGATTGTTAGCGCACTGAATTCATGGCGCAAGTTTGCTCTATTTAACAATAATGATTTAAATAAAACAGTCAGATTTTATAATTTATGTAAATGGTTTTTATTATTTTCGATTTTAATCGAAACGACCGATTAATCGGTTAATTTCTTACGATTAATTGCAATTATTAATCGAATGCTTTCGATTAATCAATTAACCGATTAATCGATTATTAAATTTGTTTTGCCATCACTAATCGCAACAAACGAAAATGATGCCCCAATTAGAAATGTGCAAATAATTTGATGTTTTCATTATATAACCTGAAATATTTCGCTACAAACCGTGTTTTTGGCACTTTGGGGTTAGGATATCTCAAAATTCTAGTGCTAGAGCAATTGTGAAACCAGATTTGGATTCAGAACCAAGATACGATGTGTTTTACTCAGGTGGTAAAAAACAAAACAAAATCTGTACAAATAATTGGAAAAGAAAAAAAGAAATACTTAAATTACTTGCGTACTAGCATTTTCAACGCGAATAGAATTTAATAAGGTGGGTTTGCAACTTCAGCTTTTTATAAATCATGGTTGTATTTTAGTCCATTTAAATTTGTAGATTGTTATAAATTCAGTGCTGCCACAGCTTTAAATATTTCCAATTATTTCAGGTTTTAACCATATCGAAGTAATTTTAGTTCAGAAAAAGCACTAAAAAAGGCACTAGTCACTAAATATTTTTTTTTTTGGCATTTTAATTTTCAAAAAGCACTAAATCTAGTGCTTAAAGCACCAAGTAGGCAACTTTGATTTTAATTCCTCTGAGGTTACAATAACATAAATTTCGAAATCTCTGCTTGAGAATTCCAAAACAGTTTCAATAGCAATACGACCTGTGCTAAGTTTTCTATTGAAGTGTCTTTGCGCGTTGGTCAAATGACTATTATCCTTGTACGGCGTTAAAAGATGCTGACTGCATGGGTAAGCTGAATCACCTTGCAAATAGTATTCTACAAAAAAAAATATATATTAATTTCTGTAATTAATTTTTCGTTATTTTAAGAACAATAATCGCTTAAGTTAAAGGGTTTGGTATACTACTCCACTTAAGATTTCTGATACACGCCACATTTCACTTTGGCAAATGAATGTGAAATAGTAATTTTAATTCCATAAACTCTATCTATATTTTCAACAAAGCCCATTCAGAAATTCTTGTAGTTTAAATAAGAATTCCAAATGGTGCACTACAGTAAAGGCGGCCTTCCCATTGAAGCGATTATTGATTTTAACCATACCGTACCTCCACACAGGGATGACAAATTTTCATATGTAGGCGAATTTTGGAAAACCCAGCTATCATGGCTCGAACCAGGAAATCCTACGAAAACGTCTATAAATTTCTTTTCATCGTTATATATAGCTATATAGCTTGCACGCAGGGTTCGTATTTGCACACACATGCTCTGCTCACACACACGCCAGAAACACATTCAACTTGCACTCACTGCTCATACACATATGTGCGCATAAGTGGAAAACAAACTCTACTCACAGAAAAGTGTGTGCTGTTTGTTATTAAGCACATGCACATGTGTGTGAGCCGATTTTTGTACAAATTTCAGCCCATGCACATGCACATAATATATTCTTAAAAGAATTTGTTTATTAAACGTTATTTTTTGAAAGACAATTCAATAAAAAGTGAGATGTTGTTTGTTTTTTATATGGCAGAAAACATATTAAAAAATTATTTTAAGATTTGAGTTAGAATTCGAAGTGTATAAGTTTCTCTACGCATAGCACACACATGTGCGTGTGCTTTACATTAATAAAAAGAAAGTACACACATGTGCCCGTGCTTTTTACCAAACGGCACACACATGTGATGTGAGCAAATTTTTAATTTTTTATATGCACAGCACACGTGAGTGAGCGTAAAATGTTAGGATGTGCTGCGCATGTGTGTGCAAATACGAACCCTGCTTGCACGCACAAAGACATGTTGCCCTTTCGGTCAATGTATTCATCTTTGCTTTCGGCCGGCGGATCAATTGTTATATGCGTTCCGTCTATGCACCCTTAAACATGAAAAAATTTGCATATGTATAAATTTACGACTGACTATTTGACCACATACATATGCTACTCACCTATTGCTTTTGAAAATCCGCATTTAATATTGAACAAATTTGCAGCTTCACGTTTTTTCGCCTACTTAAGCTGCTTATGAACATTGTAGTTCTTTCAAAGATACGAGAAACGCTTGAAATGGAAATATCAAAGCGATCAGATAGATCTCGATAACTACACGCTTAATGGCCAGCGAACCATAAAAATATCGCCATATAACTTGTGGCTGGAAGGCGTTTATCGGATCGCAATCTCGTATATATTTCGTTTCTTCCAACCGCATTGCCAAGCTGGTGAATAGCTGCTTTGAAATACGGAAGTGTTGTCTGAACTCATATTCCGAATACTTAGGCATCACATCTACTAAATAGTTTTTTGTGCTATTCCTCGTTTGTTTCTGAAATAGTTTTGCCACTTCATTAAAAATAACAATCTGCCTGTGACTTATTTGTGCTAAAGTTGCTTCAAACGTCTCACTATCGCTGGAATCACTCGATGAATCCATTAGTTCAGCAATGGCTGCGGCCCTAGTATGCGTGCCGGTTACTTCCTCAGAAACTTCCTGTATTTTTATAATTATAAACACTAACAGCCCGATTCTGAATAGAAACTCCCTAGGAATTTTTCCTCATTTCTCTTTCCTCCTATCATGAATAAAAATTCCCTGAGGATTATTCCTCTTTTCCCTATTCTCCTATTCTAAACGATCTTCGAAAAAGGGAAAATGTATTTCGGGAAAAAAGTAGTTATTACGAATGTCAAAAAGGAGGAGAATTGATTTCGTTATTCTGGGAGAATTTTCACCGGTATTTTAAAAGGGAACTGCTACAAAAATGTAAGTTGATTATAATTTGGTTTAATATAGCGTTTAAACCTTCCATTTTAGGTCCAAAACAACAAATAAGAAACAGGTAGAAATCTTAATAAGCCTAATAGAAGCTAGGTTATTTTGGTTTATTACAAGAAAACGCGCGATATTTCAACTCACATGTGTAGTTAAAAGACTAAATTTTAATTTATCACTAATATTTAAATTTCCGGAGCACTACACCTTTTCTAATAGTACTTCAGAAAGCGTCAAATATATTTCAGAAACC